TGTCCATGAAAACTGGATTTGGGGGGCAGAAGTGCATGGTTTGTGCTTGCACAGTTGGCTTTTGAGGACCAAACTATTTTCCTGTTTCCAATAATTATGTTTTGGTTTGTTTTTTAATCAAGGAGGCAGATCTTGACTGAAGGCATTTGGAAAATATGGAGACAATGTAGTTGAAAGGAATGGAACGGAGGATGAAAGTGCATGGAGGCAGAGGGTACTATGGTCAGCAGAGTCGAGAGATTGGGCATCCTAGCCAAAAAACCAAGCACTGTTGAGAACTGAAAATATCCATCTCTTTCTCAAAACAACACCCTTGTTTCTGAGTCATCAGGCCTAATGCATTTTCAAGATTCAGAGTGCAACCCAGACGACTAGATGGAAAAAACATGTTTCCTACTAGCATAGTCAACTTCTGGATGGGTGTAATACACATAGTCTTATTTATAGTTTTGGAAATGTATGGTGCTACTTGAAAGGCAAAAAGCTTGAAGGATTCTGGAAGAGGGATTGACTTATCCACAGGGAAACCTAAAATGCAAGACACCTCCAAATGTACCTGTCACACGAAGATATGGATTGGTTACTGTGAGAACAGGATACTGGGCCGCATGGGCCCTTGGCTTGGCCCAACTGCGCTCATCTTATGTTCTTATTCAGAGTCCCATCAGTGCATCATGGCCTGTACATTACCCATCTTCTATTCTGCCACAGGTTACAAAAAGAGTTTGTGGGAAACCATCCAAGTTGGTGAAACTACAGCAAACGATTACAGCGCAAAAGATTACCTCTGTGATTTCTTACCAGACTCCACTGACGCAGCGTGTGGACAGAGCCCGAGGAGCGATGGTCGATCCTTGCTGCATGAACCCACCGACAGGGAACCACAGGCTGTTGCCAAGAGAGTACTGATTAACGAGCAGGTTGCATCTCCCTTGGGAGCAGGGGTGGGGGCTGTACCACTCGTAGGGCGTCAATCTACGGCATCGAAACATAATACATCCAATTACACTGGAGTGCAAACACGGGGAAGGAAGCAATCATCAAAGGCCTAACTCTCCTGGAGGCAGGATTTCTCCGTTATTTTACTGGCAATTGGTACCAGGGGGGTCTTGCAATGCAAGGCAGCTGATGGGGCTTAAGTGCGCTTTATAAGATTACAATCAGCTTGAAACCAAGAAAGGGCACACAACAGACAGCTTATGCATTGCTTGTGCCTTCATCGTCGCTTCATTCACTTCCTCCAGGTTTAGTTGTTCCATGCTCAAAACGGGAATTTGCCTACTCCCGATTCCAGGCCCGGTTCCAGGTTTTGGATGACTTTCAGATATGATGCTATCAGTGGGGTCCCTTCTCTGAACACACCCACATCATCTTTCTCACCAATGTTGCCAGTGCCCATTGGCTTTCATCTGTCTCCAGGCCAAAACCTCACCGCCTAACAGGAGTGGAGGATGTGCTGTGCAGAGGTTACCATTTGCTAACTTAGAGAGGACAGGTGAACAGGCAGCAACAGCAAGGAGCAGCAGTAGGCTCCAGAGATTGGCAGAAGCACTGCTTCTGAGTCATGTGCTCAATGCTACGGGCCTCTGATGCCAGCCCTGCTCTCCCTAATTCAGTTCTTTGGGATTAGAAACTGCAACTGGGAGCATCTTCCCTGGACTGGCCTTGCCCACCCAAGCTGGCCACTGGATGCTCCTGGAAAGGGATCTCCTTTCTTAGCAGCAAGGCTTTCCTGGCTCTGGTGCATTCCTGTTTCCTTTGGCTTTGCTTTTTGGTCTGCTTTGTTCTTGGCTCCAACTACTGACCTACTCCATCTTCTGAATCCTGCTTATTCCCACAGCTCTAATTCCCTCTCTCCTCTCTGAGCTTCTGGCTCAACCCAGCGCTGACAGCACCAGACATTAAATTTGGGGAAAGTCCCTTGAAACAGCACACATGTGAACACCTGCTACAATAAGTATCCATTTGTGTGTGTGTGTGTGTGTGTGTGTGTGTGTGTGTGTATACAGGGTGGCACCCTGCTCACAAGCTGTTTCCCCAACCATGCACATTTTGTGTGTGTGTAAGGTCTGAGAAGACCTCTGCGCATACAATTGAAGGGGCAGAGGACCCTGCATGTTTGGTGATCTGAGAAAAGCAGGGCACCTGTAGGTCAGGTGTGTGACCATGCATGCATGTGGCAGAGTGAGGTGTAGGAAAATCTATTGATTTCAGTTTCTCTCAGTTTCTTTCCCCCGCCCCCAGTCCAGTTCTTCAGATTTCCACAACTTTTTGCAATCTCATGAAAATTCATCAGTATTTTAGTGTCAATTTTAGCAAAGCAATTTCACCTAACAAAATTCCTTTCTATGTCATTTTCACTCATGTATGCAATTTTATGCGCCCTTTGCCTCAGTTATTTCCCTTTTTTTAGCACACACTGCTTGACTGGAGAACTGCATTGCAAAATTCAAAGAACTGCATTGCAAAAATTCAGAGTGTGACTTCTGAAGGCCAGCTGACATAATGCCAGTGATCTGATTCATGCTCATGATAAGTGTTTCATAAGTCTATGTAAATATGTGTGGAGTCAAGCGGGGGTGGGGAGGGGGCTGGATGAGAAATAGGAGCGTGATATCTCTTGTGGGAGCTGTGCAAAGGGCTCAGTCTGGGGTGGTTTTTTTTAGTTACCTGGGTTAGAGAGGAAGGGGCACTTTTACTTAGCTTTTTAAAAGCAAAACTCCAGGCATCTGATTTTTTTTAAAAATGTTTTAATCCAATAGTTGCTTGCAGGGTATAGCAGCTGCAAGACAGAAATGCTCCTCCCCAGCAAACACTTGCAAGATCTCCTCACACTTGCAAAGGAATATGTGTTCATGGAGGCATCGCCTCCATTTGGGTGGATGTGGCAGGCTTTATAAAACAGTTTAGGCCAGCAACATTACAGTGGTGCCTCGGGTTACAGACACTTCAGGTTATAGACGCTTAGGTTAAAGACTCCGCTCACCCAGAAATAGTACCTCAGGTTAAGAACTTTGCTTCAGGATGAGAAAAGAAATTGCGCAGCGGCAGCGGGAGGCCCCATTAGCTAAAGTGGTACCTCAGATTAAGAACAGTTTCAGGTTAAGAACGGACCTCCGGAACGAATTAAGTTCTTAACCCGAGGTACCACTGTATTCTGTAATGTCCTTGCTGTTAATAGAAGCAGCTTCTCAAGAAGCAAGTGTCAAATTTGCGACTCTTAGGGTGTTTCAAGACTATCTTTGAGGGGGATTCAATTGTGTAACGGCAAATTCTGCTTGCACGCTTGAAGCTGACCTGGAGCTCTTGCACAACAAACCTGCTTCACTGCCCCCCCAAAAGGTGTGAACTTTTTGGAAAGTGATGGGGAAATGCAATGCAAAGTATGGGATAACATACGTGTTGACACCCTGTAATCTAATCTTCCTGCAAACAGATCAGGATGCAAGCTCAGTAAGCCAGTTGTCTGGAAGCGCCCCTGGAGACTTGAGCTTGAAAATAGCTCCAGGACTGGCTAAGATTGTTTAAAAGCATGGGATTTTATGTGGCTTCTTCCCCCCTGCCTGCCCCTCTGCGACTCAAAGAAAATGGCTTTTTATTGCCAGAGGATATTTCATTTGGTGTTGAAAGAGAGGCCCTCTCTTTTATGTGTATGGAGAGAAAGAGAAAAACAACAACAACAGCCCATCACCCTGTTTGTGACAAACACACTGACCCAGGTGTCACAGCTTTCAGCTGGAAACACCTGATCCACCTGACATTAGCTGGGTGTTATCTGAAGCCCCTGTCTCCTCTCCAACACAAATCAGTACTGACACCTTTGGAAAAAGCATCAAGAGAAGCCATATCTCAGTGTAGACAGGGCCTGGCTGTGTTATCAAACAGTTTTAAACGCTGCGCAATGCTGAAAACCATTACAAGCTCATGAATTCGACAAGTTCAGCTGCACCAAGGGACCCCCAAGGGACGGCACGCTTCCATTTTCATAACAGTATCGCAGCTTTTGTAGTGTTATTACGGCACCTGCAAACGGCGTTGGAATCTCTGGTGCCTGTTTCAGACACCGAAGGGATGCGGTTAGAATGTTTGAGAACTCCTGCTTACTAGATTAGAAAGAGCCACAACAACGCTCAGGCAACAGAAAGCTTTGGGAGTTGGGGGACAGGGAACGGTGGTCTTCCCCAGGCTGTGCGAATTCAACACCTTATCAGCATGACCAATGGGCAAGGATGGTGAGAGGTGCTGGGCAGCGGGTGTGTGTCTCTGAAACCCTTTTGGGGGTGCATCAACATCAAAAGAAAATGGCTGAAGGAATTTTTTGGTGCGAAGAGCCTTGAAGGAACTTGTAGCTGTGATCTGCAGATCAGAAGCTTTGGGTTTAATCCACTTAGCATCTTGGTATTAAACAAGTAGGGGTGTGTGTGTGTGTGTGTGTGTTTATTTAAATAAGTCCCACTGATTTCAAGTGTGGATGTTATTTCCAGAAGACTGAAATTCTGAGCACACTTATCAAGGAAGTAAGTCCCACTGAACTCATTTCAACTTCACTGCCAAGTAAACATGGCTAGGATGAGGCTCTAAATATGCTTAGCATTGGTATGGTAATCCAGTTTAAATTCTAAAACAAGTGGATTCCCCCCTCCGCCACCAGCATTCAGTCTTAGTTAGTTTGAGGTTAAGGTTGTATTTGCTGTTTTCAGAAGTAAATCCAGAAATCAATATTTAAATGAACAGATGCTTCCTTAAATAAGCAATCATATGAATAGACCAAGAGCCTGGCTGGCTGGTTCAGGCAAAAAGAACCACCTAGTCCAGCATCTCATTCTCACAGTAGCCAACCAGAGGCTTTTGAGCACAACCACCCTCTTCCCACTAGTTGATTCACAGCATTCTGCAAGCCTCGGATTATATTTACTCTGGTGCAGAGCACGTCCTATGCATATTTACTTGGGAGTGAGTCCCACTGAATCGAGTGAGATTTATGCAATCCCTAATTGATTGAGTTGCTCAGCTGGTTAGAGCGCGGCGCTGATAACGCCAAGGTCACAAGTTCATTCCCCGTATGGGACAGCTGCAAATCTCTGCACAGCAGCGGGTTGGACTAGAATGATCCTCAGGCTCATCTACAATTTTATGGTTCTGTGATTCTATGAAATGTTCTTAGTATAGTAGTTCAAATCCAATGGTCACCAATGGGTCTATTGCAGTGTGAACTGGTTGGCTATGAAGGCCTGATCCTGCGATGTGATACATATAGAGGGGTCTGACTCATCCTGCCCCTCTTGCAGCTGGGCGCCCCATTGTTTTAGCTGGTGAAATCCTCTTACGCTCCAGGACTGGGCTGTTAAAACCCCTCCACACTCAGTTAGTTATATTTACTGTATAGCTTTCAAATGATTTGCTGAAATTCATGTTTTGCATCTTTTTTTCCACATGTCCCACATGTGACCACCTCTCCCCCGCGCCCCCCTCCAGGTAAACACAGAGGTTCTTAATCTTTGTTTTGTTGATTCAAGCACACTCTAGGTAAACAGAGCAATCAGGAGGGAGGCTTCTTTTGTTTGCACAGTATTATTTTTACAGCAGATGTGTAATTTATTTCACTGTGATGTTGCTGCAAACCAAAATGCAGTCCCCTGTTTCAAAAGGCACATTCTGAAATTTTGGAAATTCCATAAGTTTACTTACTCTACAACTCCTTCCTCTAAACCCACGCCCCAATAAATGTGTGTTCTCCCTTCCATTTCTGCCGGTTTTCACAGCGAGCACTTAAAACATCCAGTTTAAAAAAAACACCTGCCATGGATTTCATATCCAAACAGTGCAATGTGCTGTCTGTTTGCACTTCGTGGATGTTAATCTCTGAATTTCCCCTCTTGAGGTTTCAAGGCTCCTTCAGTATGGGCAGCACCAAGCAGCCCAAATGCAAACCAATCCTATGGATCTATCTTCCGCTGCTGCCTGTCCTATTGCTAGTTCTCCCAGTGTGTGCAATAAGGCACACACAGGACAATGCATTAGACCTGGAAAGCGTCCCCACTGTATATTTTGGTATTTCACCCACTGTAAGAGGGGTCCACTAGAATCCCTGTGGTCCACAGATGTCCTTTAATTTACAAAGCCAGAGTGTATATCCAGGGGCTCAACAGTTAAGGCGTAACCGTGCTACAGGTGGCGCTGTGGTTTAAATCACAGAGCCCAGGACTTGCCGATCAGAAGGTTGGTGGTTCGAATCCCCACGACGGGGTGAGCTCCCGTTGCTCGGTCCCTGCTCCTGCCAACCTAGCAGTTCGAAAGCACGTCAAAGTGCAAGTAGATAAATAGGTACCACTCTGGCGGGAAGGTATACGGAGTTTCCGTGTGCTGCTCTGGTTTGCCAGAAGTGGCTTAGTCATGCTGGCCACATGACCCAGAAGCTGTACACCGGCTCCCTCGGCCAATAAAGTGAGATGAGTGCCGCAACCCCAGAGTCGGTCATGACTGGACCTAATGGTCAGCAGTCCCTTTACCTTAAGAGGGTCCCACTAGAACCCCTGTGGTCCACAGATGTCCTTTAATTTACAAAGCAGGAGTATATATCCAGGGACTCACCAGTTAAGGCGTAACTGTGCTGAGTATGTGTTTGTTTAATAAACATAAGAAGTGCCTTTGCTGGATTCAGATAAAGCCCACCTGGCTCAGCATTCTTTGCAAAAATCCAGGCAACCAGGTGATGCTATATCATCCACCCCAAACCAGCCAGCGAGGCACCAAGTTGAATCACAGCCTCCACTGCTGACAACAGCGACTACCATAGCCCAGGGCAGGATGCTGACTGGCAAGGTGCTGAACCCCTCATTGGCTCTCTCCTCTCCCACCTGTATAATTTTATGAACTTGTGCAGTGCCCTAGCAGCCAATTTCTTTACTAACTACTGCAGAGTTGTCTCTCCCTCCAGCGATTGATAATCAATCGCACGTTACGAGTTCTCCATGCCATTCCCAGAAGCTGACAGTAGGTGGCACTGTGAGGACGGGGAAAAAAGGAGATATTAAGAAAAGTTAACAGTACCGGGCCACTAAGAAGAGGACGCAGCTCACGGCGAGGTAGGCGAGTAACATGAAGAGCCAGACACCGGGAGAAAATGGATCCAGGAAAGAGAAATAGCCAGGCTTGCGCCCCTAAGGTAGAGGAGAAAGAAGAAAAAGGTTAACAGAGAGGCATATTTCCAAACAAACTTCGGTTCTACAAAGTAACAGAGCAAATGCAGCATGGAGAAGACTTGCAAGTGGTGGTGGGGATAGAGATGGCAGCAGGCAGAGGACATTGTAGGGTCCTTGAAGAAGATGGGGGGGGGAGGGAAGCAGGGCAGCTGCAACTCCCTCGCTAACTGCCCCAAAGAAAGGTTTGGGGGCTTTTTCGTCTGCTGAGCAAGAGGTGACATTGTAGAGGTGTGTATGATTATGCATTGCACAGAGAAAGTGGACACAGATAAGATGCACACTAGAACTCGTGGGCATCCAATGAAGCTGCCTGTTGGAAGATTCAGGGCAGATGGGGAAAAAGTACAGTGGTACCTCGGGTTAGGGACGCAGGTGGCGCTGTGGGTTAAACCACAGAGCCTAGGACTTGCTGATCAGAAGGTCAGCGGTTCGAATCCCCGTGACAGGGTGAGCTCCCGTTGCTTGGTCCCAGCTCCTGCCAACCTAGCAGTTCGAAAGCACGTCAAAGTGCAAGTAGATAAATAGGTAGCGCTCCGGTGGGAAGGTAAATGGTGTTTCCGTGCACTGCTCTGGTTCGCCAGAAGCAGCTTAGTCATGCTGGCCACATGACCCAGAAGCTGTACGACGGCTCCCTCAGCCAGTAAAGTGAGATGAGTGCCGCAACCCCAGAGTTGGCCACGACTGGACCTAATGGTCAGGGGTCCCTTTACCTTTTTACCTTTTACAGACGCTTCAGGTTACAGACTCTGCTAACCCAGAAATATTACCTTGGGATAAGAACTTTGCTTCAGGATGAGAACAGAAATCGTGTGGCGGTGGTGCGGTGGCAGTGGGAGACCCCGTTAGCTAAAGTGGTACCTCAGGTTAAGAACAGTTTCAGGTTAAGAACGGACCTCTGGAACGAATTAAGTTCTTAACCCAAGGTACCACTGTATTTCTTCATGCAATGCGTAGCTAAACTATGGAAGTCATTTCTGCTGGAGGCAGCGATGGCCACCAACTTAGGAGGCTTTAAAAGAGGATTGGACAAATTCATGGAGGAAAAGGCTATTGATGGCCACTAGCTTTGATGGCTATGCTCTGCCTCCACAGTTGGGGGCAGCGATCGTTCTGGATCACTTGCTGTAAAGCACAGGACGGGAGAGGGCTCTTGTGCTCGAGTTTCTCATAGGCATCTAGCTGGCCACTGTAAGAACAGGATGTTGGATCACTGGCATGATCCTGTAGGCTCTTCTCACATCTCTTCCTCTCTCTCTTATACACGTTTCAGAGTAATCTTTATAATAAAGCTGTGGGGAAATCCAGGCTTCATCTGCTCCCTGTTTTGCATCCACTCGTGTGAACACAGTCCTCTCCTGTCTTCACTCACCCTCTTGGTTCTGCATCCCTCCCTATTTGCTTTTCTGCCTTCCTGGTATTCTTCTTTATTGAAGCTGAGCTTCAGATTCTGCTGGCAAACATAGCCAGTTCTTGAAAGAGCAGAGAAAGAGGAGGTTGCCAAGGACAAGGGCTTCCTAGCCTGGGCACCGGCTCCCTCTTCTGCAACCAATAAAATGGCCAGATGGAAGCAAGTGCCAGAGAGAGACAAGGTATAAAACCTGGCATCCCTACAGCTCCCAGAATCCCATTCTGCACCTATGCTGCTGTGATGCATAGAGGGAGAATGATGTTAGAATTCCTGCTCCGTGCTTGCATGGGATTGTTGTCTATCACATGGCGGTATATGTTTTGACTCCACAGAGTGGGAAGTGACGGAAACAGGATGTTTGTGTTACTGTGTTCCGTGAAGTGGGATTATTGTCCTTTGTTTTTTCCTCTTTGCTGTCTGGTGCTAGAGAGAGAGGGAGCCATGTTGCGGAGGCTCACAAACAGTCACACTGTTTGCTGCAAGCTCAACCATTTTGCATGAGCATCGTATTTGTACAGTGGAAATGCTGGGTCTGCAGACAGATGAATGACTCGGAGAGGCAATCCTTCTCTGTCTACGAGTGGAAGAAACCCAACTGTTTCAAGATGAAGGTGCTTGAAAGTTCAATGCAGGAGCAGTTGGTGTCTGTGCCATGTATTCCCCTGACCTGTGCCAGCTGGAAGGTGGCTTATGCCCCAAATCATAGAGAGCTAATGTCTCCACAGAGCATACCTCCTCTGCCGTGGCCCCAAAGAACTATGGATTTTACATCACCTTAGCCATGCAGATTAGCTGTTATGTCATTCATCGTCTCACAGTATAATGACATCAAGAAGCCTTGAAGCTGCCACTAAAGGTATAGAGCCAGTCTTTATTCCTATGACTAATTATTAGGTAAATAATTTGAATGTGCCCTGGGGAGGTCATGTAGGTGCTTCTCATTCAGTGACTTGACTTCATCCCCAGAGGCGCACTCCATCGTCTCTCGAGACAGACAGATGCCAACAAGCTTGAAAGCTGCAAAGAGTCACTTTAGGACACAAATGAAGAACTCAGAGTGAGCCAAGAGTGGGGGGGGGGGAGAGAAACATTTTGACCAAGCATCATACACCCTCCCTTCCCCTGTCTCACAATCTTCTCATTGTCGGTGGACCTTTGAACAAACAAATTGCAAAGCAGCCATACCTATCCTGGAATGCCTGCTCCCAGGTCTTGACACTGAAAATCAATCTGAACAGCTTACGTTCCGGGTTGTGACGACATGATCTGTGCAGGCATCACTTTGTATGTGAAGAAATGTATATAGGGGCAGAAAGACACCGTCATTTGCAAAGGTGGAGAAGGGATGAAGGACGTTGCATTAATGGAACCAGGATGCCCTGCCTATGTAACAGCAGATTATTCTCACCCTTCTATTACTTGTACATCAAACAAATTCCCTTCAAACAAATTCCCTCCCT